TTTTTTTTTTTTTTTTTTTACAGGAAATAGGTCTAGGTGACAAATGACTTAATCAATATACTGTTCACAGAAGAAGTGAAGAATGTGGGAAACTAAGCGCAGCAGAGCTAAAAACAAACAAACAAAAACCCTCTGCCTTCCTAGTTGTTCCACTGAGATAGTTTGGTGGAAGGTATCTTAATACAAGCACTTGCGATTTGTTTAGATTACATTTCAAATAAAAAATATTGCATGAGCCTATAAAATTCTGTGTTTGCTCTTTAAATCTTTTTTGTAAAATAACGCTATAACTGAGTATTTACCTTTACAGTATAGTGCAGAACTACTAAGTAGCCTGAAATAGAAGTTATAAAACAATTATTTTAAAAATACTGTGTATATAATTCTGTTGAATGAATACACTATCATTACAAAACATTGTTTAAACTATTGCATTGTGTCACTTTTCATTGTGATTCATGCCTAAATATTGCACACAATGTTCTATACATAAAATTTTTTACATATGTATTAATTTATTTTTCAAATATTCAGATTTCCTGTGGGGCTTCTCTGCTTTGTTCTTAGTCCACCCAGTGCCACCCCATTGAAAAATTCCTCGAAACGCCCCTGGTATCGGCATATCAAAAGCGAAAAACAAACAAACAAAAATCTAAAAAATGTATCTTATGTGAAAATTAAGAACGATATTTGCTTTTGAATATAATTCTTTGAGTGTAAATTACTTGTACAGTGTGCATATGTGTGTGTATGAGTGTTAACTTCAAAGGCTACAGCCTGCGAGATTGTGCGTGTGACTTTTTACCGCATCGAGGGTGAAAAAGGGTTCACTGCTCTCTCCGGTGTGGTTGTTCGTTTTCCCTCTGCGTGCCGCAGTTGTTCCTGTGTGGGCGGAGCTAGATAAGAAGAGGTTTATGAAGTAGGGGCATAGAAAAAAACCCAGCAGCACCAAATTCACGGCGGTAACGTGTTGGTTGAGCGGGGTCTCAAAGATCCTTATCTATTTTTGAGAAGGCTCACATGAATAAACGTTAACTCCACCCGTTTTTAATCGCTAACGTTACGTCCGAGCGGTGCGGCTTATTAGCTAAAACAAAGCGGACCCTCAGAACAGTTCTAGCTAGTCTTCGCTTCAGTTACCGGTTATATTCCGTTTGACGAGGACACTTTTTGGAAGCAAATGTTACTGTAAATCTACACAGACATCACAAAGGTATCGGCTTAAGGTGAGTGGTTTTATTTTAACCGACATTTGTGACATTTACCGGCCTGCCATGGCTGAAATCACAATGACGATGGGGGAGAAGCAAAGAATGTGTGTCTTGAGGCTAAAAAAAAGTTTGGGTGTGGATTAACGGCAACTCTAGCTAGCGGTTTAGTTTTTAGTTCAGTGTTGGTTTCTTTGTTTGTTCAGCTCTGTAGCATGTGAAATGTTGGCTTGTTTAAAGCTACACCTCAAGTAGGCTCCTCGATAAAATCTCAAATTGAGCTTTGTGCTGAAAGTAGGCCAAAAAGTAGCCGCTTTGTACTACTAAAGAGGGCAGTGTGGGAGGCTAAACTGTGAGTGGACAGTGGGATTTGTCCCTCAAAGGGAGCTGCTAACAAAGCTTAATCTTGTTGAATCAAATCAGATATTTAGCAGAGGCTTAAATTGTTTTCCAGTTTTTTACTTGGCTTCTTGTTATACAAAGTTGTAGTAGTTATTGTGGTGTTGTGAAGTCATCAGATTTGTAAAATAATTGCTTTTAATTCCCAAGTTATCAATCAGAAACTGCCTGGTTTATCTAAACAATGTGGTTATTTGGCTCAAAGTTTAAAGCCACCCCCACTGTGTCCTAAACAGCCTTTAGTTTAGTCTGATGTCCTGAGAATAGAACTTCCCTTTTGTAGACCCACACCACCCTGGGAGACTTGTAAAGAATATCTCGAAGAGACCACAGCTGGACTATGGTTTAGTTAGACTGCATTATGGACTGTAAACTGTGGTTGAGGATATAGTAAGAACCAGGACGTCTTAAATCTAGGTCAGCTTGGTTAACCAGATTCTTAAGAACCTCTTGTTCAGCCTTGGCCACAGCTGTGATTCAGATATGTTGACGCCAGCACTCCAGTTGGACAAGATTGGTCTTGCTTGCATCTTCCTGTAAAGGAATAGCAGCCTCGGGCTGTGTTTTGTCTTCCCTGAGCAAGCTGAGTTGGTTGAAGTAGTAGTTGGTGGCCACCTAGTTGTTGCTTTAATAAAGTGACACGTGTTAATTACTGACCAGTCTTGGCTTGTAGACAGCATTATAATGACATGGTAATGGTGTCATATGGAGGTGTGACAAACACTTATGTATTTGATCTTGTACAGCAGTAGAGCACAGATAATGTTCACCAGGCATGTTAATTCCAGACATGCCTGCAGACTGTAGCCAAATGTGCACCAGTGAGTCACTTCCTTAGTTACATTGTTGTGCTATTTAGGCAAGGCCCTGCAAGTATCCGGGGGAGGTTTGGAGGGTCATTTAACCTTACTCAGTGCCTTAGCCTGCTTCTGACTGGTCAGATGTGAGTCACAGATTACAGGACCTCCAGTGACGGCAAGACGAAGCAACTGGGAGTGTTTGTTTGAGGAGATATAATCATGATCCTTTCATGGATATTATGAGGCTTGAGTCAGTGGTAAAATGTGGTAGTTCTCACATCTAAGAGGAGAAAAGTTTCATAACACTTCAGATGTGCAGAAAGAAACACACGAAGGTTGGTAGATGGACCCGAGGCCATTTTTACAGTGGATTTGTACTTCTGCGTTAACTCAATGCTCATAGGTATAGTGTTACCACAGACCCTTCTGTAACCATATGCTGTAACTTGACTTGTAGCTCCCTAGAAATGTAACTGCACATCACCAGGTGGGTAATCCTTTTATGGTCAAAATGAATCCATTTGCAGCCTCTTACACTACAAGGACTCGCTGCTTGGTTTCTCACTTTAAAGTGAAAATGTTTGCCTCATTAACTTTGGGCTGGGAAAAACAAGACATGTGAAGACACAACCCTGTGAATCATCAGGGTTTTCTTTGGTTACAACAGGCCTTATTAAAATCTGTTATAACTCAGAGTAAAAGAAATCTCCCAGAATAACCTCTCTTTTGATGAAAAGCCCCCCTCCCCCAAAAATGTAAAGACTGCTGGCCTGCTGTAATTGATGGAAACAATGATAAAATTACTTTACAAAACATTTAGCATGAGCAATTTCAAATTTCAAAGCCTTTGGAAGTACGTCAGTTAACTAATTTATACAGTGTTTAATGAAATCCAGCCTTAGTAAATTTTTAATGCAGTTTTTATTTAGGGAAAACTGTTCTGGCTTTGGCATGTAAAAGACAGCTGGGCAGCTAAAATGTCCTCAAAGTCACTTGGGATCAGACTGAGTAAACTCGGTAAACGGAAAGAGAAATTTACAGTTTCCCACAACATAAATTTGGAGTTTGTTAAAAATGGAATGCATTATCTCATCCCTCTGAGGAATGTTGAGAGATGGGGATCTTTTTCATACCTGAAAAAACTCCAAACAAACTCTTTTCAGCTAAAACAATAGATTTATCTTTGTCAGAGTAAGATTTCATGACTGCTGGATATCTAACAGACACTGGATATGTTGGATTTACTCACATTTTTTTTTTTTTTTTTTAGATTTTAAAAGCAAGAGCTCACAGGCTTAGGCTTGTCAGAATAATCAAATCTCACCTTAAACTTTTTTTCCTTCTTTTTTTTGCAACAGATAGTTTAGGTAAAACGAATACTTTGACTTTGTTGATACAGGGGTCAATATAAAATAAAGATCTGCATTCTTGACAATTAAGGCATCAGCTGAACACTTGTTGGTGGAAAGAGTAACTTCCCTTCAACTGTTTTTTTTTTCTCTAGTCAGCTGGTTGCCAGATGATGGTTTCTGATTCTGTAACAGGAAAAAAGTACACAAATTATGCACACGCAATGAAAGGAAAAACAGCTAGAAAGTAGAACATGTTTTTGGAAGTGCTACAAGGGAATCACTGAAATTGCAAGCGGGTCATTTCCTTCAACTGTGCTCTGACAATGGACGTTTCCATCCTGATCCTTCAACGGCCTGTTGGATGAGGCTGGGTGTGGTTTGATTAAGGAAATTGATGAAAAGTCACGCTGAGTTGTTTGGGGGCCTAATGAACCAAGAGTAGACTGTGACTTTCAGCAGCAGATGTGGACCGGGTGGCAAACGGAGCTTGGTTGTGGGGGAAGGGTGCTCGACTCGCTCTCTGAACTCCCAGATGACCCACTCTGTAAGAACAATGGGGACTTGTGTTGTAAACCATCTTTCCCTTTTGCATATTTCTCAGAGAAGATTTGGAAGAGTCACGCTTTCATCAGTGCGCTTGCTACAGTAGCTGTCAGTTTTTTAAGGCCCACATTGTGGCATTACATGATCCATTACATAATAAATAAATGTACATTGAAACAAGGCGGGAAACCATGTCAACAATCTTTAGGGCAAATGTGGAACTTTTAAAGATGGTGTTTAAAGCAACAGCGTGAGCTAGAGAAATCAAACTAGGTTAGATTTTTGAAAGCTGGTGCTGCCATGCTGAGCTCACAGTTGCAGTCAAATATGGTGCTGCTGAAGTATGTCCACATTTAATTTAAGAACACACAATTGCATCTCCTTTCAGGTGCACATAGATAGCTGCATACATAAACACCAACTCTATCCTGAAAAGCCTTTGTGATGATTTTCTGCTTAATTTATAGAAACACTAAATGTTTTTTACCAGTGGTTGTACAAAAGAAGCAATTTATAGATGTTTGTTTCCATGTTTGGATTTAGAAACTTCTTGTGAAAATTTAGATTTTTGATAACATTTAATTGAGAAAATAACTGAAAGATTAATTAAATAATCATTAGTAAAAGCCCTGGTTTCAGGTAGGAGCCCATTTATTAAATGTAACATATGATATTGGGGATTGTTTGTGCATTGGAAAAGAAATGGTTATAATATTGTCTGATGATGATGGGAAAAATTAAAGTGTTTAAGGTCTTACTGTGCAGGGATACTGTGCATCTGACCACAGGTATCTACACTGCATACGATCAGACTTCAGAGAGAATAACAGTAAAAGGGACAAAGATGAAGAGCAAAAATAAATTTAATAAAGTAGATTAGTATCAGAAATTGTCACAGCAACAAGTTCACAGTATTCAGTGTCTAATAGTGTGATGCACATTTAAAATGATGTAAGCCAACAAGAAACCAAGTGGCTAACCTCAGCTCACATGAAACCAGAAACCAATGAGAAACCAGCAAGAGTCACAAAACATTTTCCACGTTAAATATTGGCATGCACAAATGCAAATAGTTGGCATAAAGTGATATGTTTTTGTTCAGAATTGGTGCTTATTCTTTTCAATAATTTCCATTTATATGTATGACTTTTTGTTTAAATCATGGGCTAAAGAACTGCGAAGATTATTCAGCCCGTGTGGGTAGAGTGTTGTCTAGACAACCATTTGTTTTCTTTTGTTCTTTTATTTATTTATTTTTTATTTTCAGCCTGAGGAAGTCGAGGAAGCTGCACATCAGCAGAACCTATTTGGCAGGAAACTTTTTGCAGGTGTTATGAATACATTTGAGATTGACATGGGGGGAGGTGCAAAGTAGACGTGGGCTTTTAGATCGTGTCATGCTTCTATTTTTCGTGTTTATCACATAACACTTTGTATAGAAACACGATTTAGCTTTAAAATACCATAAACACAGCCAGTCATTATTGTTTTGGACTGCGGTCATCCACAATTTAAAACATAGACATATATTATGGAATACTAAATACTAACAGATGTGCTTCCTTTTCACCACACCGGGCTTAACTGTTCATATTTGTATTGACAGGCAAGTCACAGAGGAGTCAGGACAGCAGGTTTTTAGGCTCCATTTGTTGACGTGTTTTACTTTAAATCGGAGCAACTCTTTCATTTCCACACATCAGCCTGATAATTTATGGGACGTTTTTTTTCCTAGAGGAGTTGTCAGGCATCAACTTTAAATTCCATTTTAAAAGAGGTTTCTCTCCTCAGACTTTGTGTAACACATGATGACACACATCTGCAGAGTCTGAGTCAAAACTTCCTTGTTTACTTCTTGTGTTTCTCATACTTACCCTGCCTGAGAAAATCCCAGCATTGTTTTAAGTCAGAGATATCAGATGTA